AGAGTTTACAGATTGGAGTAGAAACTGGAGGCCATTTGTAGAGTTTACATATTGGAGTAGAAACTGGAGGCTATTTGTAGAGTTTACATATTGGAGTAGAAACTGGAGGCTATTTGTAGAGGTTACAGATTGGAGGAGAAACTGGAGGCTATCCTAAATAGAATAGAATTGATAAACAAAGGTAAACTGTAGGAAATGGCAGCAGCATTTTGAAAGAAACATAAGCTGTTATGTGCAAAATATAGAGAAATAGGTCTAGAAATAGTGTTTATGATTGTAATAAGCAGGTTCTGTTAAGCAAGAGATTTCAGCCTTTAGTTTGTGCACCTGAGGAACTCGGAGGAGGGACAAATAGGAATCAGGATGAAAAACATAAGGAGGTTATTGTCGTAGGTGATTCTTTGGTATGGCACATGGATAGGATAGACTGTAGGGTAAATAGGGAAAAGATAATTAGATTATGCTATCCAGGGGCAGAGGTGGAGGAGAGAGAAGGTGAAGAAGTGAAGGGTGCTAGTAATGATGAAGTGTTTTTTGTGCATTTAAGGGCTAATGAGGGTAGGTTGGAGGAGCTAGTTCAACTACAAAGGTTTGTTAAAGGCATCTAAGAAATGAAAGAACTATAATAACTTAATTCTGTCAGGAATACTGCCAAGAATTAACTGTGGGGATGAAATTATAAGTAGGCAACTAGGACTGAATACTAGGCTTAGTTTAATATGTAAGGATGAGCAGATTGGCTGGTTGGATTTGTGGGCATCATTTCAGTGAGAAAAGGGAGCTTTTGGAATGGATGGTTTATATTTAAATCAGGCAGGGACTGGCTTGTTTGCAATGGCTATTAACTCAGCTGTAAAGGCAGATTTTGGTGATATGGTAATAACTGAAACCGTTAAATGTAGATAATTTTCATGGCAGAAATTTGTTTGAAATATGGGGTTTAGGTTATTTAATAGGGATAGAGTACTAAAAACAAGGGTTGAAGTGGCTTTTTATGTAAAATGTGAGTTACATTGTGCTCAAGTTGAGGATATCAAAGTTCACAGCAAGGAAGTTGAACCTATCTGGATTTCTGTTAGTGTATATAAAGGAAGAAGTCTTTGAGTTAGAATTTGTTACAGACCATCAGATGAAACTATTGAAATTTATGAGAAACTACATTGAGGTAAAGAATTTAGCTGTTAATGAGTTCACAATTATTATTTTAATCTCAGAATATAAATTAGGAAATGCTAGTCAAACCACAAAGTTTTTAGAAACTCTTCATAATGGTGTTTTTCACCAGGTGGTCAAGAAACCTACTTGGAATGATGCTATGTTAGATTTATTGTTAACTTCTAATATAGAAATTGTTGATAGGATGGAGATTGGAGAACATGTAGATGCAATTGATCATAGCTCAATTAGTGTTTGATCTTTTACTGCATATGGAGATCGGGAATAGTGAGATGTTGTTTCCAAATCTCAAAATATATTTTGAAGGGCTGCAACAAGAATTATCTGTTGCAAATTGGGCAGCTGGATTAATTGGAGACACTGATAACATTTCTTTCTAGTTGAATAATTTGAGGCATTTAAGATTGTTAAGGGAATTGATAGTTTAGGTGAGTAATTTATTTTCATACTTAATGGAGAAAATGCTAGGACTAGGGGACATGAATATAAATTTTGGAAAGGTAGGAGCCATCTTCAGCTAGTACAGTTTTATTTTTTAACAGAGTGATTGGCCTTTGGAACAGATTGGTAGATGCAGTAAGTTGAAGGGAATTTAAGAGTTTCTAAATTTAATTTTGTCAATCAAGTTACAAGGTGGTAATGCTCAGTTAATTGTGAAAGCTCAGTGATAGAAGAACTCCAGTTAGAATTTAGAATTACATCAGAATCAAAGTCTGTTTTTAATGAATACAACTTACTCGTCTGAGTAGAAACAGCTGTTTTCAAGTTCACACAATGTGTTTATCACATAAACACTGGGTAGAAACTCATTATCTGATAACTTGCATAATATGTAATTTTTTTTATTTTGCAATTCTGATTCAAATTTCTTTTTAGTCCAAAATATATTGGTATATAACTACATTGGTAGCTCAGAAGATGGTGTATACAACAAAATGTTACTCATAGAATTCCATTCTGATAAACTTTGGCTGACAGTGACTCCCAAGCTTTTTTTTTTTGGTATTCTATTTCTGAAATTTAGGACAATAAAGGTAATAAAATATAATACGTTAATCATGATAGGTGTTCTAAGATGGCATTCAAACTCAGAAGCATATTCTTTTAGTTTTCATCAAATAACAAATGTATTTTAATGAACTAATTAATGTTGTTTACAACTGTTAGGAAAAAATAGCTGGTATGTACAGTCAGTAAAGAATGTTCATGGGGGAGGGGTAGAATTTCAAAAATTCTAATGATAAGCATGTGGAATCTCTTGCCCCCCCCCTCCATAAAAAAAAGATTTCTATTCTGTTCTTCATTCATTAGATTAGTGTTCTTTCATGGATTATTTTAGTTTTGCAGAGTTTTTATTTTAGATAAAATTTATGAATCAAATTTGAATATAGAAAAAATTAGTGATTTGAAACAAAAGTTATTAGATGGCTCTCCAAAAAACAACAACAAAAGATGTGAATAATAAACATGTTCTTAGTAAGTCTCTTTTAATGTTTTTCTTTGTAATGGTCATTCATTATTCTATAGTGCAGCTGTATGTATTTAATATCATATCTATTTTATCTTTTAGCTCAAGAAACTTAGTTAATCAACTGCCAAGATGGTGAGAGTTAAACAGTTTGGACTTCTTGTGTGGAAAAACTTTAAACTACAGTTTCGCCATCCATGGGTGACTGGTTTTGAACTTGGTGTTCCCACAATGTTTGCTTTAGTATTAGTGATAATAAGAACTCAAGTTGATTCTAAACCAGTACGGAATGCAACAATTTTTCCATCATTCACTGTTGACCATTTACCTAGTAATCTAACCCCTGGAATCAGTTTTGCAGCTCACTTTGACAGAAGAATGCCAACAGATATGAAGAAAGAAGATTATTTAAATGAAAACATAAAAATCAACTTCACAGAATATGAAAATATAACAAATAATAAGTGGGTTTTAGCTTATGCTCCAGATTTACCACATGTTCGGTCAGTCATGGAATTTGTAGAATCAAAACTGGATGTGACTGTTCAGGGTAGGTGTACCATACATGTATCTTAACATTTAAAGACTAACATACATTGTCTTGTAGCATTTACACATTCACATTTTGTTCTACAGAACATTTAATTGATGTGACACAGAAACAGTTGTTCATGCAGTTGATGATATAAATAGTCTCAACCATTACTATGTCTGTTGTATCCCAGCCAGCTTAATATTGAGCAAAAGGCCTTGTTAGTACCAGAACTGGGTGATTTAACTGATTACCCGTGAGAAATGATTATGTAATTAGTGTCTAGTAAAGTAATTGATTAATGTAACAAAAACAACTAATCAGATTTAATGTTTTCAATTGTTACTGTTTTTGATTATTCCAACAGTCGATTAATTATAATTATGATTACGTTGATTGTCAGGAAAACAATTAACTAACTTAAATTAATTATTCCGATTGTTACTGATTTTGATTATTTCAACAGTTAAGTAATCAAAATAATAATTAAGTTGATTGTCATGAAAATATACTAATATTCAAAATTCTGGTTTCCAGTTATTCCAAGTATCCAGTTAACCAAAATATTTACATTGTGTTTAATTGTTTTTAAGCATTAAGTTACACGTTGGTGGGAGAGGCTTCATAATTTGAGATTCTCGGGTTTGATTACCACTGCTATAAATTTTGAGTTGCTAACAAGTGGGAAGGCAACTGGCTGGCAGTACCTGCCTCCAACTCTCTGGCTACTTAAATGTTAAATAAAGTACACATATACTGTTTTTTTTTACATTGCATTATGTTTCTAATTTGTAATTGTATTATTTAATGTTGTATAAACATGTGCAGATCTATGGAAGAGATCCAGGGGAATCAAAACCCTCTACCCATTCTTTTTTTTTAATTAGTAATGGTATTATTTAATATAGTAGAAGTAAGTGCATATCTAGAGGGGCCAAACACCCTCCTCCACATTTTCCAGAAATTAATAAAAAAAAAATAACCAGATGCCGTTATGCAAGTCGTTTATTGTTTCTAAATGCTAAATAATGCAAATGTGTTGTGTGTATGATACATTTTCTTGTACAAAGTTTAGGATTATTGTGCCTGAAGTCTGAAGACAGGGTTTCCTTTGGCTTTTAGCATTTTTTGTCACTTGATAAAAAATTTTCAGACACAAACTTTAAAGTCGATTTTATATGTTAATTCTAAACAAATTTCAACAATTTAACTCAAATATTTTATTACTCATATTTTGTCATTCTCTTACATATATTTAATATGAAAAGTTCATATTTTAATTTTTTCATAGCTGCACAGAGTTTTGTATGTAAACAGAACAATCTTTTTCTCAATTGTTTTTAAAATTTTTCTGCCCATTCCAAAGAATAACTTTATTTTTGTTAAGAACCAATCATCCCTTGAGAATATATTTTTCATTTCTTGATTTTTAAGCATTTTCAGTCCTTTTTCTACAGGCTTTGGTTGAAATATTGATATTTTCCACATCACATGGTTTGATCATTTACTAATGAAACAGTTTCGAAAACAGTTATAAAGAAATATTAAATATGATTAGATAGAGCAAAAATTATAATATCACATTAGTAGTAGGGTAAATATATAGATTCAAGTTGTTGTTTTTTAAATAAATTCTGTAAATTTCAGTTCATTTCAGTTTCTTTTTGTTTGTGAATTATGAAAGTATTTGTTATTAAATTATACCTGATTGAAATCCATAGAAATTTTATTCAATGTGAAGATGACATCAGACTTGAGATAAGGTAGTAATCTTATACAGTTCAGAGATGTATTGAATTAATAACAAAGAAAACTTTATTACAAGTTAACACAGTAACAAATGCACAATGTTTGGTGAAGCTTGTGTCATCATCTGGTAAAAGTAGTTTACGTAGACACAGGAATATATATACACAGTATGAATCAAAGAAGTCATACGACTGGAAATTGCTTAAGGGCTAATAAACGTATCTTGTTGATATTTGATTATTTGTTTAAAATTAGTGTTTGTACTTTTTTAATAGATATACTATGGTTTTATTGAGTTGTAATGTTTGTAAACATGAATTGTTTTTTTTTAATTAGTTCACCAAATAAAAACTTGTCAACAAGTCAGATAAGTTTACTGTTTAGTGAGTATGGTAGGTAACTGAAAGATAATATTCTCATGAATCAAATCTTTATTGAATATTATTTTTAGATTTATCCTATTCAAACAACTTACATAAACAATGTGCCAACTACTTGCTATTTAATTATTTCTAATTGCAATTGTGATATGTTTTAAATAAAAACACTAACATTATTGGTGACAGTAAAACATGTTTTCTTTCTCAATTTATTTAAATTACAGAAGATTCGTATAGAATTGCTACATATCTTACAAGCAAACATAATGGTGATCTCATGATGATATTTAGTCAACATTAGCGATTCATCTCCCATGTGGGAAATTTTCAGATTATTTATAGAAAAATTCTGACAGAATAGTTTTTATACAAGAGCAATACCATGATAGAATAATGTAATGTTTGAAAAAATTTAAAAGGTAGTGCACATTCATTTTTTAAATAATGTGATGTTTGAAAAGTTATAAAGGTAGTGCACATTCATTTTTTAATAATGTAATGTTTGAAAAGTTATAAAGGTAGTGCACATTCATTTTTTTAATAATGTAATGTTTGAAAAAGTTATAAAGGTAGTGCACATTCATTTTTTTAATAATGTAATGTTTGAAAAAGTTATAAAGGTAATGCACATTCATTTTTTTAATAATATAATGTTTGAAAAAGTTATAAAGGTAGTGGACCTTCATTTTTTTCTCCTTACACACAAAAGTAAGAACAAGACAAATATTATTTTGATAGGTTACGTGAATGACTTTGAAGTCGACCGAATAAACGATATATGAAATTCTAAGAACTTATGAGTAAATAAAGAAAAATATATAACATCAACCATACTCCATCTGCCATATTCAGTGCCAACTGCTAACATGTGTTGGAATATACTATATATATAGTTAAAAATGCTGATGAAATGGTAGTTAGCCTAAGAATAACTTGGAACAACTGTAATAGTTTAGGTTTTTTATTTATTTTAATGTGATTATTATTATTGTCAGAAACCTTTTGCATATTTGTTAATCATTCTGATTTGTGGATAATTATATTTTTCTTTTTTGGTTTTACTTTTTTTAACAGACTAATGCATATTTCTTTCAGTAGTTCTCAAAATTTCCATCTGTTGGCGTATATCGACCATGCTGTGTTGGTAATAGAAATGTATAAAAATACCAATGTTGCAGAATAATTTAGTTTATATTATAAGTTTTAATCATACTGTATTATGTATGTAGTTTTAAGTAACTCCTTATTACTAGTTTAATTTTTAAGTAACTCTGGATTGTAAGTGAACTTTTAAAGTAACTCCAGATTATGAATTTAGTTTTTAAGTAGCTCTAGTGTTTCCTGATGGGATAGTGGTAAGTTTACGAATGTACATTGCTAAAATCCAAGGTTTGATTCCCTGCTATGGACACAGCAGATAGCTCAATGTGTCTTTGCTCTAAAACAAACAAGTAATTCTCTACTATTAGTTTAGTTTTTATATAACTCCAGAATACAGGTCAGCATTCCATACTGTGCTGTTAACATGAACATATTTTTACTTATTGACACCTATAAGCTGGTTGTATCACAAGGCCTATTTTATTTTTTTTACTAAAATAGTTCAAAAAAAGCCTTTAAAATCTTATAAATTTGAAGGTAAGCATATTATGTTTAACCAAAAACATTGCTGTAATTTATACTGAATAGTCATGATATTAACATGCATACTTATCCAATACAGAAATATAACAGTTTTGCAAATTTGTAATATGCAGGAATAATTCAGACATCATTTTGATTATTATTATTACTTACATAGTAAATTATGTGTCATTACACAAATTAATGGAAATTTTAGGGATGGGTATAGAATTCATGTTTAATGGTAGTGAAATATATATATTATTTATGTTTATTTAACTCTGTATTCTAATTTGTTGAAGCCAGATTTGCTGTATGTTTTAGAAAATCTATATACTACTAAAACTCTGAGATTGTTTGTTTGTGTGCTTGTCTGTAATTAAATACAGCAAAAACAGCACACAATAGTGCCATATTTGTGATGAAATGAGAATAGAAATGGAATAAAACAAGTTTTGTGAAAATCAGGCCATGGGTTACTGTGTTAGTGCCATTTTTTGGGTCACTTTTATGAAAATTTCTAGATGAATTTAGGTACATTAGATGGCGCCACATATCGTTTATCTACCTATATATTACTAAAACTCTGAGATTGTTTGTCTGTAATTAAATACAGTAAAAACAGCACACAATAGTGCCATATTTGAAATGAAATGAGAATAGAAACAGAATAAAACAAGTTTCGTTAAAATCGGGCAACGGGTTACTGAGTTAGTGCCTTTTTTTGGGTCACTTTTATGAAAATTTCTAGATGAATTTAGGTACATTAGATGGCGCC